CTCTGAAAATGCATAGAATTGTCGATTTTAATAGTTCAAGCACAAATTACACCTTAATTTGCATTAATACGTAGAGGGGAAACTGTCGTAGCACAACTGAAGAAGCTAACATCCATGATATTCCTTGTCTATTTCTCTTAGGGCGATGACCGATGAGCGGTAAGGAAAACGAATGGAGGTATTGGATTGGCTGCTTTGCAAACACTAAACAATAGCATGTCATATCACAATATTTTAGTTATGCTCTACCAAAAATCCATAAAAAGAAGAATTTTCCATTTTTCCAATTTTCCATTAATAATTAGAAGTTACCTTTCATATCAAAATCAGTGAGTTGGCGAATCTGTGAATAGTGAATCTGTGATTAGTTTATGATGAGTTAGTACAGTAGTTGGTAATTTATTTTTGCCACTGCCAGACTTTACTTATCTTTAGGAAAACTGAGAAGAACAGAAAGTTGAGAATCTGATGAGGCGTTTACTAAAAACTGAAACATTCCCTGGTTTTCTGACTTTGTACCTTAAATCACACAGTGGACTTTAGTGGCCAACTTAACAGGAACGATGCTTTTTATACTCTTAGAAAAAAAGTGCTGCAAAGTATTTACTTGATAGTGTAAGTCTGACAAACATTGTTAATGATGCAGAACCTGCAGAAATACTTGTCTGTCAACAACTTGGTCGTTTCATACACAACTTGACATTCTGCACTGACCTTCGTTCTATTAACAGCCAGCTGGGGAAAGTTTTGTAGCCTCTATGATAACCTATACTTCATGAATTCACTTTTACAAAGAAAACCTAACTGATACGCTATGGTATGAGGCAATATGGGAATTAAAATCACAAACAAGGGTTCAAAACGGCAAGAAGCAGGTATGAAACAGGAAAGTAGGAGAACCGACCAATCAAGATCATCCTTATTTTGACTATTTGTGAACATCTAACGCCAAATGCTGCCTTACCAGGAGCTAGCTCAGGTCACATTAGGTCACAGTGGGTTATATTAGGCCTGTATTCATGCACTATGCAATAAGCACATGGATGAAAGAACAAAATCTGAGGGGCCCTTTTTGTTCCCCCCAGTGCCTTTGGTGGTGGATCTGACAGGATGGGGGGGGGAACAAGAGCACGGCGAAAAGCCCCGCTTAAAAAGCTCCCAGAAACACCATCCTTGTCAGCGGTGCCACAATTAGAGACGAGATCACTGGCACTTCCCGGCGAGAAATATCTCACCACTGCTCCTCAATGGAACGCTTTCGTTTGACGAACGCCCCTCAAAGCTGGGGGTTTTTAAAACGTTTCGGATGGCTAATCACTCTCAGGATGAAAGGCCCCGGCATGTTCGTTTGTGTCGGCGCGGGAGAGCTTCCCTTGCCGTTTCGCTCGCTCTGATTCTGATTGTTTTTGTTCGTTTCCTTTTTCTTTTTTTTTTTTTCTTTTTTTTGTGTTGCAGCAGGCAGAGAGAGGCGAGGCAGGCGAGCTGGCAGGCAGCGCCGTTTGAAGGTGCAGTCAGACCCGAGCGCGGGCCCGATGCTTTGTAGTGATATTTCCAGCAGCACAATCTCATTACTTTTTGACGTGGGAGATGCATGCAGGGGCGGCTTGTCATTTCATGCTGTCAAAAGTTCTACAGGGGATGGGGGGGGGGGCAGGGACGGCAGCGAAACTTCAATGACCTGGCTCATCAAGGATGAATATATTAAATCGAATATCATAGACAAAGCCCAATGAGCGCAGTCATCAGAGATGTTTGTAAACCTTATGTCTGGTCCGTAGGGTATTGACGGATCCTTGTCTCCCGTCCGTAAGACTGCGACAACGTTTCATCTTCCAAACTGCTTTACTGTACGCCCAGTTGGGTGGATTAATTTAGAATAGGAAAAAAAAAAAGACCTAATGGCAGCGTCATTCACCTTTCAAAAGGAGAGGAGAGCTCCTGCATAGTTTCACATGAGAGAAGCGCTGACAGTTCCCCCCTCAGGAAAACGCCTGGGGTTTGTCCCATGACGTTGATTTCACGCGGACTCCTTTCAATGCCGAGAGAGAAATTAGCTCTGTGTGAGACGCTGCCTGGCACCGACTGAAGCGGCTGGTTGCCATGCAAACCCCAGCCTGTTGCTGGGGCGACTGTCCTGAAGTGCTTCCTGGGTAATTTTTGAGGTCACTGGTTTGTGCACGCCTATGTGCTGCAGATGGGCCCACCCTCATTCAGGGCCCGGCGGGAGCTCTTTCATTAGCCCAGTGAATGGCCTTATTCATCCCCTTCGCCCCAATTGGTCACGCTGAGTCTCTGCAGAGGGCCCAGGACAAACTTTTCTCCCTGATCTTCCACGCACCACCCACCTTAGTCAGGCTTTACTTTTGTTCAGGGTGGAAGGGGGTCGGGGGGAGATGTGGTGGCTGAAGCTCCAGGGACTCAAAAAACAAAAGTGATGAACTACTGGGTGTATGTAAAGTGCGATTGACATTTTAGCTTTTTTGTTTTTTCCAATTAAAGTTGCATTATGTAACTTTTATTAAAAAAAAAAATATATTTGTTACATATTTGTCAAAACTGTCAGTATAGGACAGATAATCTGTGAAAAGAAATTGAGCTCACCTTCTCCAAGTAATACTTTTGCTAGCTACAGACAAATACACCTCGGTTAGAAACAACTAATCAGAATCAGGAGGAGTGGCTTAGCATCATCAATCACCCTCATGTATGTGCTGCTTACACCCTCTCCATTGCTCTCCTCTATGGTGCAGCTTCTTCCTGATAAGTTTGCCAGGATTACTAAGGCTAGTTAGCATGGTTACTGATGATGGCAAATAAACAGTTTTCCTGTAGCCACATGTTGTTTTTCTGTCATTAGAACATTGAGCCGCTCGTACATGAGCATGAATGACAGCACTAAGACCCTCCTCCTGCCTCTGATTGGTTGTTTTTGACCATGTGCATTGGATTTCTTGAAATGGCAAATATAGTAGCTCAGGGAGATGGAGGAGATCCATCTTTTCACAGGTTTTCTATCTCATAACATGTCACAATATGGTGACAGTTTTAACAAATATGTAAATAATATATATATATATATATATATATATATATATATATATATTTTATTTTATTTTTAATCAAAGTTACATACTGCAGCTTTAAAGAATTAATAAAAAATAAGGAAATTGAACACAATTCACATCAAGACAGTTATAGGCTAATAAAGTAAACTCAGTATCCACTCAAAATTTGTTGATCTGACCTAAGCTGTTGAGTGGGGGACCTGATCACAGGATCTATAGGATTAGTACAGGTGCATTGATACATCAGTCCATTGATAAATTGGCCACAAATTCCTTAATTTCAGGAGATGTGCAATCAGCCGATACTTAAATGGTAAACAAATTTTATCCACCAACATTTTCTACCTCCGCAAATGTCTTGAAATTAGCCGATGTCCCCAATGTTGCCAACTTGGTGACTTTGACGCGACATTATCTACTTTACAGACAAAAAAAAAAATCAGTTTTGGCCAAAATCGGAATTGGCAGATCAGGCTTTTTGAATCTTGCGATCAGTCAGAAAACTGCACTTGGTGCACTCCTGCTGATTACTTGATGAAACTTGACTATGGACTGATACCTGTTATTGGTTTACAGTTGCGTTTTTCAAAGCAAATTCTTTAGCAAACTTTATTTTTTCATGCACTCCTTGTAAAACGGCATCCCAGTTTGTGTACATTATTTTGTGGAGTTAATCGGGCCGTTGCAGAGAGTCTCTACCCGGTTTCTTCTTCACGATGATGTTTACAGAGAGAGACGAGACGGGGGTCCATGTCTGATTGTGACGTATGGTACAGCTCTCAGGGTAGCAAGACAAAGTGCAGTTAGCTCAGTCTAAACACAATTTATTATATTTTACCTCTTTAAAAACAAAGACGTAAGACATAATATTGTTTTAGCTGACCTATTGTGAGAACATAGTAACCTTCCTTATCTAGCTAACCCTGAGTTGGAGCAGCATGTTGAGGCTGAACTCCAGAGAACAACTGTGACTGTCTGTTCGTTGTCTAGAAAAGCAAGGAGAGACTGGATCATCTTAAAAGTCACAGATGGAAAACTAAAAATGATGCTGCCTTGTTTTTCAAACACGGAGTTGATCTGACGAGGTTTCTTAAAGAATAAAGTATTAGTATTGAGCTATGCTTATCTTGAAATGACTCCTGCAGAATTTGTGCAGACTTTTGTGAGTGATGTATGTGGTGACAGTAGGTATGAGCTGGTTAGCAGAAGAAAGTTAGCTAAATCTACATGACATGGAGGGTAATTTGATGAGGAATAGAATAGCAAGAGAGTACAACTTATTCGACACAGATTTAAAAACTGAAATAAAATCTACCTGGTGCTTATATTTTTGCTTGCGGGTGTCAATAAAAATCCAAAGATCTATTTTAGTTGGAATGTTTTTGCGCCTAATTCCAGAAATTAATGGTATGTTTTTTTAAAAGCCATCATTTTGCCAAAGTAAAGTTTCAAGAACCTTATTTCTATCTCAGTGTCATAAAAAAAAGCACTAGATAAAAAACTCAGGCAGAGTTATTTTATCGCTGTTTCCACTCAGTCCATTGAGTTGCTGCAGTTCATAGATATTCTAGAGGGTTCTTTACAGCCTGCCTCTTTTTGGCACTTAAGTAATTCTCAGGTCTAGCCTGGTGAGAAGTGACTAATTGTCTTGAGTTGTTAGTGTGCTGGGAATGGGGACCCACTTCAGTCAGTGACAGGGTGCACAATAATTTTGTTTTTCCCGTCCCTCCTTACCGCTCTCCCTCCACCCCCATCCTACCCCTCACCTCTCTCTCTCTCTCTCTCTCTCTCTCTCTCTCTCTCTCTCTCTCTTTCTCTCTCGTTCTCCATCTTGCAGCAGATTTTGCCCCTGTGCTTCTCAAGCTACTGAGCTGTAAAATTGACTGGACAGCAGGCAGTATACAGAATGAGACCTGGCATCATGGACACACTAACCTTGTGGAGGGCCACTGCTGCTGGCTGCACCTAAAGAGATGGAGACAGAATGTCAGCCATATTAGACTGAGAAAGGTTCAATGAGGAAGAAGGAGAGACCAGAGGGAGACAGACACGGAGAGACATATTGTTTCTTCATGACAAAACAATATGGCAACTTGGCAAAAGCAAATCTAAATCAATATGAGGTGGGCATAGGCTCTACACACAGGCAAAGGATGGAAACCGCATGAAGAGAAAAGTGGAAGCATGAGAACAAATGTTAGCTACAGTATCACGGCCAACATGTTGATACGTTCGGTCTTTGTATTACTCAAAACTTAGCATCACTGACAAAATGTAGATTTTACCACCAAACAGGTAGTGGCAGATACCAGGACGGCTAAACGTGTCACAGCAAGGTTGCTTCGTTTTGAAATCATTTTAAAGATATTAATAAATGTTGCCAGAGGTCAATAAAGGTCAACCAGCCAGTCTATGTTCACAAATTCAATGGTGTCATTTGTGCCGTTATAAATTTTTCAAATTGTAGAAACAAAATTTCCAGAGGTCACCAGAGATAACCTTGATAAAAATTAATTGTGCTATTTTTGTGCAACTTAAAATTTGGCATCACAGCTTATTGATACCAAAACAATATGGCAACTTGGCAAAAGCAAATTTGTTTCATTTTGCAAATGTAGGGGTGGGTGGGGGGGAGGTTTGTTGACCTTTGATGACCTCTTTGAATATTTATTAATATCTTTAAAATGATAGCAAACTAAAATTTTTGATGTGCAAATATTTCACACCAATATTTGATTTGAATGGGTAGGAGGGGGAGGGGGACAACTTTACTTAGACTGCTTTGGAGGATGTTAGGTTTAAAAAAAAGAGTTTGGGGACATTTTCAAGTTTATGTAATATTCTGCATTTTCCACAGAATACAAATGGAAACTATTTTTTACCTCTAGTAATGCTAATATGCTAACATGTCAACTGCGATGACTCAGTACTTCTTCTAAAACTCCTCTCTTCACACACAGTGTGACGTTGCCTCTGCCCTTCATAGAAATAATTACAGAACGCTACAATTAAAACACTCTGAATGTAGCTTGTTTGGCGTTCTTAAGGAGGTAACTGGAATTGGCTGGAAATGGCGGCGGAACAAAGCTTTTCAAAAAACCGAGATCGGAAATCAGCCCCGAGTTCTCTGATTGGTGCGTCTCCGACAAGAAGGTGGTTCCTGCATCAGTGTGGATCCCACCTCCACTGTAATGAATTCAGCTCGTACCACTAGTCCTGGAACAAATCTGAGCAATCAATTACTATGAATCACAAATAGACTGGCTGCGGTTTAGATGTGAACAAATGGCGCTTCGGTCTCTTACAGATGATATTAGTGCTCTGAGCTTCTTTCTCTCCACAAGAGATTAAGCAGGTTTGTACTCTCTCAGGCGGCCAAGCGCTCTCTCTCCCTCCTCCCCCCTCTACACAACGCCCCCGCCCCTCCAGGGTGCTGCACTATCATTTGCAGGAAAATTACTTCAGTAATGAAGAATCCAGGCCCATAAATCCTTGTGGCCTCACCTTCCTTCGCTGCCCAAGTCTCGCTGAAGAGCTAGTAAAAATTCCCTTTAAAAAATTCATAGCGCAATTTTGCTCAAATCCCTCCCAGCAAGCACAATTATGGAACTTTCATCTCAATTGATTTATGTCTTGGGTAAAGAGATGAGGGGTTGGGGGGGACATCACTCACTGTGGGGGGTGGGGGGGGTCGCGGTGGAAAGCAAGGTTAGGGGGTTTGGAGAGAGGAAAATAACAAGTGGTAAATCATTGTTTTTAAACCGGAAGGTGTAGAGCCTTTTGTCAATTTCTCTGGATGTTTGTTGTACTGCAGGTGATGGCGAAATACACCGAGTACAGAGGAGGAGGAGGAAGAGGAGGAGGAGGAGGAGGAGGAGGAGGAAGAAGAGGCAAGGCAAGCATTTGAAAGTAGAAGTAAAACAGCAGAAAGAGGGGAAGGGGAAGAGAGAGGGAGAGAGAGCGACGAGGGCAAAAAGCAGTATTACACTTGATTAATAACACTAATCAAATTATACAGTGTTCCACTGTGCCCTGAAATCTGGGGCCATAATGTCCTCTAATAGCGAGGTTCATGGAGCTAAACTTCAGAGGGAAAACACAGCGCTGACTGCTGCACGCCTTAATGAAGGCAGTAAAACATCCATTTCCAGAAGCCATGAAATGAAAGGCGAGATTGTAGATGTGCACCCAGTGGCTCCCTGACTGCAAAAAAAAGAAAGAAAGAAAAATAAAAAAAATAAGAGAACAAAATAAAACCCCCACAGAACACAGCTTTAGAGACAGGCAGAGAGATGCTTTACTGTCTTAGAGAGAGAAATGACGAGAGAATAAAATACATGTGGAGTTAAAGGGTAACGCCAACAACAAGGAGATATAACAAAAAAAAAAAAAACTAGAAAGAGAAAGAAAGAGGCTGATGAAGCGGAGACAGAGAGGCAGGTTGGCAGATACTCACAGGGCTTCATTTCCAGAGAACTTCTCCTCTGGCATGAAGACAGTCATTTGTGTCTGCTGATTATGGATGAGCTCGGTTGCTTTACTGTGTCTGTTATACTTAGTGCTGCTGAAAGCAGCCACAATTCATCACTATTTAGCTGCTGATGCACCTAACCACACCATCCTCCCCCTCATCTATATCAATACCTTTCCATTAGAGGATCCCATTGTCCACTCAGGCATGCATTGTGTTGATCCATCTTTTCCCTGCATATCTCCGGTTGTCCACCCATTCATGTGAGCAATCGCCCAGGTATTCATTCATTCCTCTGGCTGTGTGTCCGTCTGTTGGTATATACATTTATCTACGTATGCAGAGACTCCTCCATCATTTGTTCACACATCTATCAATACCTGCAGTGAGTGTGAGTAAACCATGTACATGGTATATGACCTTTGCACCATGCTAGCTGCTGGTATGCTAGGTTTAGCTTACCCAAACCTATTGCTATTGCTAGTTTAATGCTATGAAAGCACCAATAGCAAAAGGGCTAAATGCTATTTAAAGTAACTCAGCTCAGTACAATGATACAGTTCTGCACAATAAAACATGGTGAAGGAAGGACAACAAATGAAAAATAACAAACAATTTCCAAATTCTCTTGTAGCTGCAGTAGGTGTCTTTTATAGCAATATATATTTTTTTACATTATTTGCTAAAACTATCACTGTGCCCAAGAGATAATAGGTGAAAAAAAAATCTAACTCCTCTGCCTTCTCTCTGTGGTTCTACTGCCATCTGCAGAAACAGAAAAACAACCAATCAGAGTCAGGGGGAGTGCCTTAGCACCGTCAGAAACAAACTAACGTTAAAGGAAAACCGCTCCTCCGTCATCATCACCAGCGGCCATGATTGCTCGCTTGCACATTGATGGCAGGTCAGAGCTGTTACGCAGCAGGGAGTGAGAGGAAAGGTGGAAATCTCATGCATTTCTGTAACCATTTAAAACTTTAGTTTAGCTTGATGCCAGGGCTGAAATGATTCGTCAAATTGATTACTGAATATCCTGGAGGGAAATGATCTGCCCTGTAATAAGCACATTGTGGTCAGGTCAGAAGTTTTGTGTCTTGCAGGACAAAACTCTTGTTTCCGTCAACACCTACACCGTTGACACTGTTGATTCTAGGTGCTATTTCCAGCTAAGGAGAGAGAAGTGCCCAGAAAATGTCAGAAACTGTGGAGAAATTTTAAACTGTGTGGTACTTTGTGATAACATAGCTTGAGGAAAATAGCATTGCTCCACTCCAAGAAAAGCAGTGTTAGAAGAGCCCTTTTTGTTTTACAAAACAAATGAAAGCAATTCTATTTTACTGACACAAACATTCAAAACTACTGGATCTCAATTTCACCCAGAAACAACATTTCAAACTTCACTTCCCACTTCTCTTCTCATTCAGATGCTTCAAAAATGCAAGGAATTAATCACAAAGTATAGAGCGGCGTGCAGATCTGCACCAAAAATATGATGTGTTTCAAGACTATTGCATTTAATCAACTAAATTGCACAAGTTAAAAACAATCAAATCAGCTTTAGCATCTGGAGTTAAGTAAATACTACTTCATTGTCCTTTGGGCAAGAATTCATCAAGAGAGCTGACGGGAGGAAAAAAGAGAGAGAAAAGAATAACAACAACAAAGCTGAGAAAACACAGATTGCTATTGTTATTATTATCATAATTACAGTTGTGCTTATCATGCAAGCAGCCTCAATCAGGATGAAATACAGTTTCATTTGATGAAGCTTCCTGTTTTGACTGGCTGGAGCTCCAGAACCGCACACTTGGCTGGCGTGCCAAAAACTCAATCAAGCACAATTACTTAGCCATCAGATAGAAATGTAATTGATTTGAAAGCTGACATGAGATATAACTACATTACAGTAGGGGCACAGCGGGGAGGCTCCTCGGGGACAGGGCCTACGGGGAGCTCATTACCGCCAAGCTTTGAATTATTGAGTGCTAAGGCTGTGACATTGAGGAATGGAGGCGGGCGATTGGCTGCAACAACTCGGCAAGTGTTTATCTCAACTTACAGCAATCTAAGACATCTGATGGAGTTATCTCCCTGCGCATGAATATTGCAAAGGATGAAGTTGTAATGGTTTATAATTGAAAGGGTTCAGACCAAGATGGAGTCCGGGGCGCACGTCGTGTCTGTTCTTTCAGTTCTCTTGTCATCGTAACGACCGGAGCCAAGAAAAACACGGAGGCCCGTCCAGCGGCGGGCCGCTTCCGCGGAAAGAACGCACCCAGACCCTGGATCCCATGTTGAGTGGACGTCTTTAAGTTGTCAATCCTTTATGTGGAAACATCAAGTTGTACTCAAATGTTGGCAGCTTGCTGTGTCGCCAAAGAATGAGGTTTTCAAAGGTTCTACTTTCACTTAGGCTCTTATTTTTGCGTTTGCTAGGCTTACTGAGTTCGTAGTAGGGGCTGAACGACTTCATATGTTTTAAAGGCGAGGTCAA